ATCTTCATATTTTCCATCATTGTATGTATTTGTATGAATCCGTAAGAGAGAGGGTGTGTATTTGTTTTGAATCTTTATAAAAAAATCATCTTTGTATGGATGTGTATGAATCTGGAAAAGAGAGAGGACGTGTACTTGTTTTGAATTTGCTTCGAATCTTCATCAGATGGTGGTGTTACCGGTGTTAATGGGTGGTGGTGGTATTTTCTTTTTCTGAAAATAAGAACGAGGGAGATGAGTTTTGAATTTTTTTTATTTGACAGGAGCTGGTAATGGTGGTGGTATCCGGCAGAAGTAGTGGTGATCTATGGTAGTGGTGGGTTTCGATTGTGTTTTCCGGAGAGAGAGAGAGAGAGAGAGATTATATATTAAATAATTATATTTAGGTTTTTAGTTTTTTAAAAAAATAATTGAAAATATCATAAATGGTCCCTGTGGTGTGAAATGACGAAAATGTCGTTCAGTTAACGGACAAAACTTAACGGAGTTAGCAATAAGGACCAATCGTCAAAAGTTTTGAAAGCACATGGACCATCTATGACGTTTCTAAACCACGGGTACTATACTTCAGATTTTGGGAAACCACAGGAACCATTTATGATGTTTTTTCAAATAAATATTTAAAAGAAAAACACATAGATAGCCTTTTCATATAAGGAAAATGATATATAAACACTTACATTTTTTTTAAAAGTCGGTTTTAAGCTCATCTTGAGGTGCGTTATCACCAAAAGTTTTGTATATTTTTATATACAAAATACATAAACAAAAACAAATGATAAATATTTTTTTCTTAGATCATAAAAAATTGTATTTTTTTTCTTTAAATTTGTATTTCTTGCATATTTTTGTATATACATAATCAATAAATAATAAATGTGTATTTATACTTCAAAATACATATTATGTTTTTATAAATAAATGATAAATATGTATTTATTATTAAAAATACATAAATTAAAATATGTATTTATAAGAACACAACCAAAAACGAAATTTACAAAGTACATTACCATTTAAGAATCTTCAAATAAAGTATATTACCACTTCAACCATTTTAGAATCTTCAAAGAAAGTATATTACCTTGTAATCTTCAAATAAAGTATATTACCACTTCAACTATTTTAGAATCTTCAAAGAAAGTATATTACCACAAGGTAATGTACCAAGTACATTACCATTTCACCCATAATAAAGAAAGTACATCATCATTTCAATCATACATAAACGAAAACAGTTAGCAATTCATGAAGTTCATTACCTCAACCAATAACAAACAACAACTAATGTCATGTCCGTCCGGTGGACAGGTTGACAAATATAAACAATATATTGATGTATCTTATTTTTATAGCATATTTCTTTCATTCGTTCCTATATTAACAATGTACATGACAAATCTACCCAATTATATTATTAAAGTGTAATATGTACAAAAATATTTACCAAATGATTGTAGCTTTTAACTTATCCATTGCTACGTTTTTGCTATTTATCATTGGGTGCAAAATCATTTGTTGTTATCATCTTATTGTCTTCTTCTTCAAATTATCGTTAGACGTCTTCTCCAAGTATCGGCAATTTATGTAAGGTCTTTGTTTATTTGTTCTTGTCTTGGGTTTATGTTGGTATAGGTTTTCGAACCTGCAAAATATTTGTTTGGAATCAAAGAACACGGATATGATTATAGGTTCTTGTTAATATATATTTTTTTGTTCTTGTTGCATATACCTTTGGCATCAAGGAAGTGGGTTATGATTTTCGCAGCTGGAAAAATATAGTCTAGCATGATTTGATAGATTTTTTACATGGATGTGTAGTCACGTAGGATAATTTCTGTTAGGATCGAGACACTTAACACACGACTCTAAACACACACATAGCTCACGAAAAACAAGAACACAAGGATG